TTTAGATAATAAACCATTGTGAAATAATTTGCAGTATTTTTTTTAGGCTAGAAATTAAGAAAAACTTCGAACTCATTTTTATTTGATATCTTTAGTTTTAATGAAACCAAAAGTTATTGGTGTTAATTTAAAATACTATAATATATGTAAAAACTCTGTTCATCTCAATATTAAATATAATCTAATTATAGTTTCATGCAAGGATATAGTTCACATATGAGTCGTTTATTTCCAAAGTGAATACTAATCATTATTAACATTTTTTCAGGAAACGAGAAACACTATATTTTCTATTCCAATCGTAATATCAAAATCAACTTTTTCAAAAAAATAAATCAAGAATTCGTTATTTGTAGAGCATATTTTCGAAAATCATAGACTATTCCAGTAGTAATTTTTAAAAAATCGAAACTTGAATAGAATGCCTTTTGGAAAGAATTAAACTTCAAAAACTATTTTCGAAAAGAAAAAAAGTCGATTGTGGTTCGGCTTGTAGAAAAAAAATCTGGTGTGTCCACTCACACGATTTTTCTACCGATTTCAGAAATGTTTTTATATCTTTTGATTTGGGAATTAGATTTATTGTTCCGAAAATTGATCAATGAAAAGATTTGAGTACGATTTTTTTGATAAACTGAAGCAACGTAAACTGGCTAGTGGAAGATCAGCTTAAAAATTTCAATACATCCTAAAATTGCAAATCAAAAATTATTTTGCATTAGCCTAATTTTGTCAAACAAAATTTCTGTTAGAAGTAGTGTGATCCAGATTTTTTCGCTTTTCTTTTTCTCTCTCTTTCAACCCTTATTGGCATCGCAATTAGAACTCGCAATCTTACATACGAAATTGAATAGCAGTAACTTCGTTAATAGTTGTCCGAAATGAACGATTTAATTTAATTACCTGTCAAAAGTTTTAATATATATTTTAACATAAAATCTATAATTAACAAGTTAGGCCCCAAAACATTTTTATTTTCTTTATAATATGTTTTCCTGAATTTTCTCGAAATTTTAGTACATGTACAAAAATTGAAAGAGTCTTAATTAGAAAATTATATAAACGTTTCATCAAAATCATTAGACCCGTTTTTGCACTACAGTATACAGAAAAATATGTTTAAATATATGTGTATTTCACAGCCGCTATGATACAAGGAGCATCCGATTTCTGTCAGAGGCATCAGTAGTCAAAACCATACAAAATAAAAAAAGAAACAACAAAATCGGTCTGAGATAATCTTGGTACTGACAGACAGACCAATGGCTGAAAATGTGTTTTTCGGACGCAGAGGGCTCTGAAAGATATAGGTCCGTCGATCGTAATACTTTCCTAATCTAGAGTAGCTAAAAATAGTGAATGACTCGGGGGAGAAAATTTTATACTATTAAACTACTATAAAAAATTAACATTTTGCCTACATTAGTGGTACAATAAAATAAAGTTATTTTTAATTTAATTTTTATTTTATTTTTAATTTTAAGGGTCTGACTTTACTTCTTGTACAGCAGCCCTGATGAAGGTCTGAACTTCGGGCCGAAACGTCGGCGAATGTAAAAATAATTAAAATAATTTTTTTGTTTATCATTTCAATTTGACTGAACACCCCAACCATCCTTCCCTTGAATCATTTTTAATTTTAATCGATTACAACGTATAAACAAACTTTTGACGAATGGTTTTTTAAGAATACTAAGGAAATGCAAGTTTAGTTATATTAATCGAGAAAAACATGGCAGTTTCGGTAATAAACGTATCGTCACACAACTGTTTTTAATATTTAGTTTTGTCAATGAGAAAAAATAATTACACAATCAGACTCATTAAATGTTTTTACGTGAGAATCGATACTTATCTCGATTTCCTTATAAATTAATTAGAGTTTACATTGAAAATAAACAATTCAATTATATTCATATCATACTTTAGTACGTCTACCATTTCGTCTTAATATTGCGAATAACTGTTTTAAGTTCCTTAAAATCTTTTGTGCGGCTCTAAATCGTAATTTAGAAGATTCGTAAATTAGAATTAATTTATAAAATAAATCGTAATTAGATTATTCAAATGAAATAATTAAAGGCCTAGATTATCAATTCTGTGGGGTAATTTAAGTTAAAGAAATAAATAAAATACTCTAAGATAAATAATTAATATGATTTATAAATAATATGATTATTCCTGGAATATATATATCAATAATACTAAGAATAATATTACATCTTTCCATGAAATAATATTCCTAATGGAAATAAGTTAACTGATCTAATCTTTGGCACTGGATCCGTCTCTAATCAGGGAAAAATGTTACCATCGATGATCTTAATCCTGAGTATAGGATTGCCGTTCCATACAGTCCAATATGACTTTGAGTACCGCTTTACTTCATTTAATCTACTATCAGTTACATTGAAAGTAGCAAATTATAATTACATTATCGCCGTTCCAAAGGAAACATTTTGAATACTTTCAGATTTGTTCGGCAACTGGACTATCTATCAGTTACCCAGACATCAGACAGATTGCTAACACAGTTTCCAATAGGCTGAAGGCGGCGGGAATCGAGCCCGGATCCGTGGTTGGGATATGTGCAGTGAACTGCTTGGAGTACCCCGGCGTACTGCTGGGTATTTGGAATGTAGGGGCCATTGCTGTCCTCCTGTCCATACATCTCAGGACGAGTAAGTGTAAGAAATATATTATTTATTAAACTCACTTTACAAAATAATTTTTACTAAAAATATCATCTTCTATATATATAAAAAATAATGTATGTCTGTCTGTCCGTCTGTTTGTCCTTTGTGCATTACTAAACCATTCATCCGATCGCCACGAAACTTTGGGAAGTTGTTCCGTACACTCCTGGGAAGATTTCTGGCATAGTACTTCTATCTTACTATAATTTTATATATGTAAAAAAAAAAAAATGTATAAACTGTAGCGCCAAAACGGCTTTACTGATTTTAACGAAACCTGTCTAAAGTCTTCCACTTGAAACCCTTTTAATTTATGTGTATAACATACTTTCCCGAAAACAAGCTGAAAAATGTCACGATGAATTCAATATTCTATTTGCCGATAACTAAAAAATCACACAATTTTTTATTGATAATACTCATATTTATTTGAAAGATTTCTGAATTGGTGACAAAATAGATAAAAAGTCATCGAAATCGGACGGTTCGTTGCAGAGTTATAGAGTTTTAAACATTTACTGCTTTCTCTTCAGAAAAGGCCGTTTTCTTTTGCTTCCTCAATACCGAAGGGCGGCAACCATTTTTTTTTATTTTTTTTATTTTTATTGATTAATCGAAAATTTTATAATTACTGCAGTAATTGAAATTATCATTTGAAGAAGTTATATGATTCTCCTTTTGTAGGTCAATACTATTATACGTTTTTTTTTTTTAATTTTTTAATTTAGTTTTATAAGTTCAACTCAGACTGTTTCTAATGATTATGAATGACGGCGTATTCACTCAGATGATTATGAATGTTCAATTTGAATCATGAGAAAAAAAAATCATTAGAATTAGTTTAAATTGGAGCCATGTTATAGACAAATTTGTTTACCAACTTTTTAAAAATGACAGGTGTCCTTTGCTACTAATCTACTCACATGTGCGTTCTATTTTCTTTCTTTTTCATTTTGCCAGGCTAAGCCACAGCAGCGGGTGGCTGGGTAAAGCTAGTCACCCTATAAAGGACAACACAGTTTCAACAATGTTGAATTTTATCCTTTGATATGTATGCTCGGCAATCACCTCGTATGGGTTAGAGCTATATGGTGTTCTGTTGCTAAAACCTCGAACATCCAGAGAATACAGTCCTCAGGAGGGAAAGCATTGTATGATATCGTGGACTCCCTTTCGTAGATGACGTGCTGCCCAAGGCTGAGGACCTCCAGCAATTTGAGATACTGTTTTTATCTCCCCTACCTCTCCTTTTCCCCTATACATGGTTTTTCCCGTGCCAGAAGTGAGAGTGTGTGATTAATACCAGAGTTAAATGCCAACAGCACTGGAACTCGAACTAATAGTCTTCAGATAATAAACTGATAGGATTATTATAATAAGATTGCCAGACATGTATTGCAAACACCTTATTAGCCCGCTTTTATTTTTATTTTATTATATTTTTGGTTCATTGTTTACTAGTAGGATAGAGAAGATAAATTTTTAACTACTATAAAAGGGAAAAATATTTATCATCCATTACAAAAGAAAAAATCAATAGATATACTATTTCCTTTCAAAAATATATACGCTACAAAAGGGACTATTTTCATTTATTTCAATCGGTTATTTTTTGAAATTCCATTCTTTATGTAAAACATGATTACAATTTTCTCGATTACAAGTTTAACATAAATGGAAATTTAAAAAGCAAACACAACTATAAAATTCTCTGATTATATTCTGAATTATTCATTAACGATTTATTAATTATTAAGATGTTGGAAAAAAACTTGTAAGCACTTAAGTACAAGAGTTTCATTAGATACCAAAATCTCACGTTCTCATTATAATGCTTACTCTAATTTAATATCATTTATCACAGCTGTTGAGAAAAATTTAGAGCACAGAGGATAAATTTTCATAGAAATTCATCAAATATTAAATTTACCACTGGAGCCCAATCTTTTTCTTCTACATTTCACAAATAAAGCTTACTACGTCAAACCTAGGTCTATGCTGCACAAATTTTATGTAAATGTACTGCCTAATGATGACCATATCACCTACTGCCGAACTAGCTAGGTCTTCCAGCTCTTCTGGTTTGATGGAGGACCTCCTCAAGTACTCTCTTCAGGATTTTGTACTCGAAAACAACCTCCTGCACTTTTGGAGAAAATATTGTTACATGGGTCTGATTTCCTGCATCTCTTCCTTGTCAGCTTTTCCAACATTAAATTAAAGAGCAGATAGGAAAGTCTATTTACTCGGTTTAATTGCAGATAAGATGTGAATTCCCAGGAACACTCTAATTATACCCTAATTTATCACCTTATACTCCTCGTATTAAGCTTAATAAGGTATGTCAATTATATAGAGATATTCAGTTTGTGCAAACTTCATTTTGGTTTTCCTCTCTTTATGCTATCACAAGCATTTATGAAGTCAATGAAAAGATGATCCATAGGTAACTTGTATTCATGACATCTCTCCAGGATGATCAAGGTAAAAAAAAAAAGGTTACATGCGAACTTAAAGATTCTTCCTTAGATGTTCGATATATATATCACTTATTAAGAGCTTAATGTTCTATGATTAATGGTGTGATTACTTGGAAGAGGGTTGAAGATCAACAAATTGTGATCTAGAAAGATTCATTGAGTTATCATTCTTTATTAAATATCACACTCCAAATAAAAACAGCTTAACATTATTGGTTATAATTGAAATCAATCACTTCTGTTCATTATTCTCATAAGCACTGCATTCTTTTTCTAGGAGAACTACAACATCAGATCAGGTTGGCCAAACCAGTAGCAATTTATGCTCCCAACATGAATGAAGAACAAAAAGAAGTATTTGAATCATTTCCAAAAATGAAGCTTTTGCATTGGCCATTACAAGAATTGTTGAAAGATGAAAGGTCGACAGATCGAGAAAATTCATCAAAAAATGAATTTAACAAAATAGCTCTATTGCTTTTTTCCTCTGGTACAACTGGTCTACCTAAAATGGTAGCAATTAATCATTCAAATGTTGTTATCTCAGTAGAAAAATTAAGGTGATTTAAAATTTACTCCTAAAAATTTGGAAACATTCATATAAAAAATAAATAAGTAAATAAAAAATAGTGCACTTTGGTTTTTTAATAGTTATTTCAATCATTCTGGGTATATAAATTATGACCAATACTTTGTGTTTTGCAATAGAGAAAAAAGTTCAATCTTTGTATTACAAGAGCATTATAATATAGATATAGACAATATTTGAAAAATTAGTATTAATCTCTTGGATTTCAAATAGAGAAGTTATGTTATATAAAATAATAATGTAATACCTCAATGTGTAAAAATAATTATAAAGAAATCCATGCTTCCATTATTTTAAGGACTTTACTCATGTTGGATAATGAAAGAGCTCTGGGTCAATTGCCGTTCTTTCATGCTTATGGATTGGGTGTGTTGCTGATGGCACTCTGTCAAGGCACAACATTAATTCTTATGAAGAAATACATACCAGAACAGTTCTCTGATATTTTTTCTACTTATAAGGTTAGTACCAAATACTTCTAAAAGTTTGCACCAAATAATCTTGATAAGTAATACAAAAACGTAAAGTAACATTAAAAAAAAAAAGTACTATAAGCAAAAAACTATAAGCCACCTGTTAAGTATTATGATGATATGACAAACCATTCAATACAAGTTGATTTTTGAGAAAATTGGAAATACTTATTTATAAACTAGATCAAACATGGTCAGGAAATGTGGCAAACATGAAAGACAGGTTAACACAATTGAGATGGATTTGCTCAAAAGTGAAGGAAAAAAGAATAATGGGACAACCCAGACTGAGATGTCTGGACGAGAAATTCTGTGACAACAGATCCCTCCGATGGTATTGGAATCTGAAACAGCTGCACATAACTCAAGTACTTAGAGGAAATTCCACAAAACAAGAAAACAAATTCTGTTATTCAAATTGTATCTGTTAAAATTAATTGTTCAATATAATTTGGTATTCATTTTGTCAGAGTTAAGCTTCTTAAAATACTTTTCCAAGTTATAAATATTAGGTTATAATTAGAAAAAGTCTAAGCAAGTAGCTTTGTGTCTCAAAAATGCAAACAAAGGATAAAAAACCTGACAACGTTTTGCCAATTCAGGCATCAACAGGAAGTATGGGAATGGGTATCATGGACTGATGTGATGTTCGATTTGTTTTTCTCTTCTGTCCTAATTATTTGTTGGAATTTTTCCAATTATAATCTATCATTGAATTTCTGTCTTTTGGTAAGTTTTTACTGATTTATATTGTTAAATATCTTTTAATAAAAACAGACGAGAGTGGAGCACCATACCTACATATATGCAATGAAAACCATTGGTTCTAAATTTAGGACAGACATATATATATATATATATATATATATATATATATATATATATATATATATATTTAACAAAGCATTTATATTGAATAAAATAAAAATATCTTGCTTAGCTCACAAATTGTTTTCACCAAAATATTCAAATGTAAAATGTATGCATAGTATAATTATAATTGCAAAGCTAGTATAATTTCTTTTTAATTTACCAGTTCGAAAAAATGTTAAGATAACTGCATGAAAAAAAAGTAACAAATATTACTTATTTAATTATTATACCCACCATTGGTTACAGATAACTCACTTCCATACAGTTGCAACATTTCTTAGAAAACTAATAGATGGTAGTACTGAATTAGAAAAGTTGAAATCATTACGTTACATATTTACAAGTGCTTGTGCGGCAGATCCGAAATTGCAAAGTGAGGTTCTTAACTCCCTTAAAAATATTAAAATGTATCATATGTTTGGAATGACAGAAACAACTCATGTTGTCACTTATCAAAGGGTGAATCTTAACAGGGCTGGAAGTATAGGAAGGATATTGCCTTTCATGAAAGCTAAGGTTAGCCAATTTCTATTTGAATTATGAGTTGAAAATAAACTAAAAACACTTCTACAAATATGTAATTTTAGGTAATAGGAGCTCAAGGAGAAAATGTTGGAAAAGATGTCATAGGAGAACTATGTTTATCTGGTCCAACTGTCATGGCTGGATATTATGGAAATAAGGAGGCAACAGAAGAAGCATTCACTGAGGATGGGTGGCTGAGAACTGGTGATGTAGCGAAAATTGACAATGAAGGATACATTTACATCATAGACCGCATCAAAAGTTTGATAAAATTTCATGGCCAACAGGTAAATATTTCTAACTATCTTGTTTAATAATTTTAATTTACCTCTGAATAATATCATCCAGGGTGTAGCGCAATGTCTCTTACAGACATAAGCAGCTAATAGTTCTGAGCAGCTTTCCTAATAATAGGTCTGGTTAACCAATTAAATATATAAGTGAGGAGAAAGTCAAGATATAAAAAAGTCTGACAGTTAGGTCAGTAGTTTCCTTATCATTTATGAAGGGTACTTAAGAAGAAAAAGGAAAAATTTTTGATTCCACAAACTGAAATTTTCTTTGGACCACTTTGTAAGTTTTCTTCAGGGTAAATGAGGACCGGTCTTTTGCAACAATGAGAAATGATTAATAGATCTCTTGGATATCTTTTGAATGCTTTTGTTGTATTTCTAACAGCATGTGATAGATACCAAAAAGAAAGGATAAGCCCACATGCCAAACTTCACTGGACTATATATATATGGAGATTATAAGAGCCCTGAGTGCAAAGAAACATAAATAAACATTAATTTAAAAACATAAATATATTATACAAAAATAAGTATTCTCTAATCACTAATTTAGTATTTTTTTGTTTTTGTTTAAGATTTATTGGTTATGAATAGAAACTCTATCAATATTAAATGTATTTGTGAAAACACCTCTTATTTTTCAATATAGTTGCATTCCTATATAGATTCTCAGCCAATATTTAGAGAAACTCTTATTTGTGATAAATCCTGAACAGAAGGAAATCTTTTTTTTTAATCATTTAAGAGCAATTGGAACCATTTTGGTTAGAAAATCACAACACATATAGCCTAGATTAGATGTTTGTTTAGTTGGCTTTCATATCAGGGCAAAGGATATGATTTGATACATCTTCATCCTCGATTTATCCAGTCCTAAAATGAATAACTGGTAGAAGTTAGGTACAAAACCTTGCAATCGATAGGTTTTTAATAGAATATCATGCATGTTTCAACAATGAAAGAAATGTCTCTATTTTCCTTAATTTTAAGATTAATAACGATTTTTTACATTTATTATGCTTACAGTGCAACGTTTACTTTTGTTGAAAGACAATAGAAAAATTATCATGGCAACTGTTGTGATAAGATACCAGGCATTAATCTTTGGGTGAGTGGCCTCCAATAAGCTGATGGAACTAACCGATCCTCAAGGATGTTTAGTAATCAGTAGCCTAACTAAGCATTGAGGCAAACATGCAAAGGTCACCTAAGGCCAATTAATAAGTATTTTTTCATCAGATATTTAACAATAAAAATATTAATTACTAAATAGCTATTAAAACTATTAATGACAATTACAAAGGTTTATAAATAATAAAATAATTGTACATTTCTTATAATAAAAATTGTTTATTTCAATAAATTGAAATCAAACAATAAACTACTGTGCAAAATTAGCCACCTCTTCTGGTAGCCTCTTTGAGTCTTAATCTTCAAAAAATTTCCACTAATTTGGCAAAATTATACTTTTGGACTCTTCATTTTGTATTCATAAAAACTCAGACTGCTATATGCATATGAACCCACATTACTTCTCAAATATATTTTTATATACTTTAAAGAATGAATGAGGTGGAGGAAAAATGTTGGGAGGAAACATAAAAAAGCTGTCATAAATGGTAGTCTGAATGAATTGCTAATACAAATGGCAACACAAATAATAATCTAACAATGTAATGTCTGTATTTTTATTTATTTTCAATTTTTATCTAGAATTGTATCAATTTTATATATATATATATTTTTTTTTTTTGAGATTGTTCTTTCAACAAATTAAACAATTAAACTTTTATTATTTTCAAATTCCGGTTTTCCGATATCCCAAGGCATTGCCTAGGTGTTACATAGGCCTATGTTAGTAACCAATGGGATCATCCTCTTAGCCACGCAGTCGTCCATTTAAATAGTGGCCAAGTTGGGCTGTGCTGAAAGTTAGTAAATAAAGCTAATGCACCAGTCCTCCACGCTATTCCCAATTACATAATATTATTATTAAAACTCAAAAAAACAAAAATCACTCTTGGACACCAACCAAACTGCTCAGCAGTGAATAGACTAATTTAAACTTATATATGTTTTAGATATCTCCTATAGAAATAGAACAAGTCATAACTCAGATAAAAGGAGTCTCAGAGGCTGCAGTTGTGGGAGTGCCAGATGAAAGATATGGTGAAGTACCAAAAGCCTACGTAGTAAAAGAAGATGATACAGTCACAGAAAAAGATATAAAACAAATAGTTGAACGTGAGTCAAACAGTGTTTCAATTTATATAGAATTTTAGTAAAATAAATTAAAATTTATCTATTTATTCTCAGGAGAGCTAGCTTATTACAAATGGTTGCGAGGAGGAGTCAAGTTTGTTGAATCTTTGCCGAAGACACCACTACTTAAAGTAATTAAAAAGAATTTAATTGAAGAAGAACATAAGAACATATCTTAGTCCTATAAAAAATCACCATTGACGAAAACCTCTCCTGGAAACCCCATATCGCCCTCATCTCCCGAAAGTCAATAGATACCCTTAAGTTATTTCATCGCTCCCACCACCTACTCCCACAGCCCCATGTTTTATTTTTTTGTTTACAATTGTTACTCATAAGGGATCTCCTCCCAGAATAAAGTTTATTTTCTATCTATCTATCTATATTTGCCTATTACTTTATTACGACAAAATCAAGACACAAAAATACAAAACTTATCATTTGTTCTGGATTTATATTGAGCAATAAATAATGGAATTAATATAAAAAATAATAGAAACTAATAAATTAAACATTTCAAAATATAGAAGTAAAAATCTGGTGTGTCTACTCACACGATTTTCCTACCTATTTCAGAAAAGTTTTTATATCTCTCCATATGTTCATGAAGAAAAAAAAAAAATTGAATTAGATACATTTTCCTGAAAATTGATCAAACATAAGATTTGAGTACGATTTATTTGATAAACTAAAGCAATGTAAACCGGTTTAAGGTAGGTAATTTCTGTTAAAAGTAGAGGAAATAGTGAAGCTTGTGTGATGCAGGCAACAGATTTTCTTACTTTCACTTAGTAATCTTTATTCTCTCATTCACCATTTTCTGACACTAGGATATGAAACCTAACATTGAATAGCCGTAACTTCGTTAATAGTTGTCCAAAATGAACAATTTTTATATGGCTTTGTAGGGAATTTCATTAACTTTCAAACGGCAGGCTAAACGACTGTTTTTCAGGACTCAGGGGGCTCTGAAACGTATAGCCGATTTCGATGATTTTTTTTTTTGTTTTGTTAGAAATTTAATTACCTTCCAAAAGTTTCATTATAAATTTTACCATAAATTATATACTTAATTAGTTAGGCTCCATAAAATTTTTCTTTTCTTTATAACTTTTTTTCCTGAATTTTTTCGAGAATTTAGTCTATATACGAAAATTGAAAGAACAATGATTACAACTTTATAGGAAAGTTTCATCAAAATTGTTAGAGCCGTTTTTGAGCTACAGGCTATAGAAAAATATGTTTTTCATTTATTGCGCGCAAACTATTGCGCATGGAGCATCGAATTTCTGTCACAGGCATCAGTAGTCAAAACCCTACAGAATAAAATTCCAAAAAATAATCATCACGTTACCTGAACATCTTCTAATATTCACCGACGGATCCAAATCAGATACATCTACTGCTTCAGCCTTTGTCACTCCTGATACTACCTACAAATATAAATTACACCATCTTTGTAGTGTTTACACAGCAGAGATTAACGCCGTAGCAATGAGTCTCCGATACGTCATGAAGAAGCCAGTTGCAAATGTGGTTGTTGTATCGGATTCCCTAAGTACTCTGAAAGCTATGAATAACATGTATCCAGACCATCCAGGGATACACTGCATTCTAAGTCTTATAAAAATGCTTCATGGAGTTGGAACAACGGCACATTTTATCTGGTCGCCTGGCCATATAGGAATTAAAGGAAATGAAATGGCTGATAGAGCAGCAAAGGAAGCTCTTACTCTTCCAGGCCGTGGTAAAGTTTTTTTGACACCATCTGAACTTGCACGACCTCTGAGAGAAACCATATTCCCAGAATGGCAAAGACGGTGGGAAAACAGCGCACCTAGCAAATTAAAAACAATAAAGAAAGAGGTGCAACCGTGGACCAGCTCCAGACGCAGCAGTCGTAGAGAAGAGGTCGTCCTCACGCGGCTGAGGATCGGACATACTAGACTGACTCACCTCCACCTCATAACAAAAGATTCTATCTCCCGATGTCAAAAGTGTAACCAATCACTAACTATAAGACATATTTTGGAGGAATGCCCTTTTTACACCGCAAGATTAGAAGATTTTGGAATACCCCAGAATATATCAGCGTCCCTGGGAAATCAGGAAGAAATGGTTACCAAAGTCATCAAGTTTATGGATAGTGAAAGACTTAAAAAACACATTTGACAGGCTTTTTTTTTTATTTATTTTTTATTTATTAATTTCCTTTTTATCTATTTATTTTTATTATATATATTATATATATATTATATTTTTTTTTTTTTTTTTTTTTTTTTTTTTAATTGATTCTACTGCTATTTTTTAAAGTTTATTTATTTATACATTTTTATACATCTTATTACCTATAAATGTCTATTATTATCCTTAATTATTTATTTTATTCTATCAATCCATTTCTTTATTTATTTTATTTATTTATTTATTTTATTTTTTTTTTTTGTACCAATCATCCAAATAGTATTAAATGATGTTATTTAGTTGATCGGGCGCTTATGACCTGGATGTTTTGCGCCTAGACATCGAAACAAACAAACAAACCTACAAAATAAAAAAAAAAACCTGTACCACTACAACCCATGAAGGGTCTGGGGTTAAGAATTATTTAGGGAAAGCACTGTTTCTAGGTCAACGGTTGTGCAAGGAGGTGATTTGACCAAGATCACGCTCAACCGCCAGGTTTTCCCCCTTAATTAATTACTTAATTGAGGGTACCCACTTTATAGAGGCTGGGTGTACCCCAGGAGGGACTCCTGACCCAAGGTCGCCCCACGGCCAATGAAACAGATAAATAAATTTTCTGCCATGAGCCGGGGTTCGAACTCAGGACCCTTGTATTGGAAGCTGAGTGCCCTACCACTGAGCTACCCCGCTCCTTCAAAATAAAAAAAGAAGCAACAAAATCGGTTCAGTAGTTCCCGAGAAAATCTTGGTACAGGCAGACAGACAGACAGACAGACCAATGGCTAAAAATGTGTTTTTCGGACTCAGGGGGCTCTAAAACATATAGATCCGTTGAAAACCGCATGTCGGAAATTTGACCCGATTGCAATACTTTCCTTACCTAGTATAGGTAGGAAAGTAAAAAACGTTTTTGTAATATAAAAATTTAATACTTGGTATTTTTTCCCTTTGCGATACTTAAGAGTACCTCTGATCAATTTATAAACACTCCATCTAATGTTTTCGAATAAGTCATTTATGTATATTTTTATACTCTTTCATGAACATGAATTGGTGAGAATGAATTAAAGGGATAGATCCAGCATAAGAGGCTATTTACTTATATAAATCATGGTCTTTATCTGGACTAGATGAAATTCACTCTGTCAGATAAAAGTGTTATTTGAGAGGGATCATTTATGCCAGAATAGGCAAAAGACTAAAAAATGTAGTGAAATGGACTTTTGGAGAAGAGCATCGAAAAATAAACAGAAAATAATTAAAATTGAAAGCTAATGGATGTCTTCTAAAAGATCAATAATATTAAATAAATATAGTAATATTTTTAGAATAATAGATTAAAGAAAAGTTCAAACTTAGGAAGAATAATTTTATAGTAATAACAAATCTAAAAAGAAAATGTAGTAAATGTGTTTAAGATAAACTTTTATTAACATTTTTTTCCTTTTAATTTATGTAATTTTTTTTCTGTTATATTTTCCACTAAGTACAGTCCATGGTGTAAAAATTTCTCATTTTTCACAGAAGTACACAATTATTATCATGATTGAAAAACTAATGTATTGCAACATGATTGGAAATATTATTGAATATTAAAACTGGTTGTATTATTTAGTTATTATTTCCAGATCAATAGACTAAGTAATCTTGAAACAAGATTTTCTTTTTTTTTCTTCTTATCTTCAAATAGCAAGATATGTTTTTTACAGCACCTGCATAATTTTTTTTCCTGTATTATTAGATATAAATTAAGTTTATAATTATGCTAATTTACAAAACAAAGTATAATTAAAATATACAAATTTATACTATTATAAGAAATTATAGTTCACATGAGCTAAATGAAAAAAAAGGGTGGTACTCATCAGGCATTTCAACTTCTTAAAAAAATATTTTGAATATAAGTGCATAATAAAGAAACAGTCTATTTCAGTGAGACTTGATATTATGAAGCACCTGTGAAAATTTCAGTTTCAGGTTATCAAACTGAATTAATACATGCCCACTCACTGTTTATAAATCAAATAAGCGGTAATATGTCTAAAGCCATACATCTTACCTTTATATAATGGTATTTTGATACAATTATAAAGTAATCAAGGCCTGCAATGAAAACATTGTTTCAATCAGTGATTTCCAGTAGCAGGTTCAAGATTTAATTTTGAGGAGCTAAAACTAGTGGTCTGGGATAGAGATATCTTTTCTGTTAAATTTTTAAACATCAATGATCTAAACATCATTTTTAATACTATTCTAAATAGCAAACAAATTGCAACTATTGTGATTAATTATTTGGCTTGAATGATTCATAGGAATGATTTTTTTAAAAAATCTGTTTGTCTGAGAGAGGGGCTCCAGTCCGAAAGCTTCCCTCTCCCCATAATTCACTATTGGTGATTAGTATAGTATTTTTTTTTAGCAGAAAAGATAAAGAAGAAAAAAAATCCATTAACTTTAGTTAAATACAAATCATTTGTCGATACAAACATTTTTAGCTTTTACATTTTAAAAGTTTTTCTGACATTTTACAAACTTTTAGTCTTTAGATTTTACATTCCATCTTTAAAGGATTTGCCTTGTTCCTTATGCTCTTAGTTTATCAGTCCTTCCTCTCCAAATACACTGAAAATATTATACATGACAAAGATCCATTGTCAAATGGCAGTGATGATGACAAGAAAGATTCTAACGATTGAGAAAATAATCAGTTAATTTGAATTAAATGATTTAGTAAGATAACAAGACCTTCCAAAGGATTCGGCATAGGTTACAAGAACACGATTAAAGAAAAATCACTAATTGGGAACTCTTGTATATCCTTTTCATAAGGAAAAAGAATTTGTGAAATTTCTTTTTTCTCCCAAAAGAGTGAAATGTTTTTTTGCTTAAATATTCCATGAGTGATGGGAAACTTCAATATTAAATAAAAACTAGAAGATTGAAAGCTTCATCCATTCCTCTGAAAGCAGTCCTCTATCGCTATAGCCATAGATATAGTTTTTTATCTGTCAAGTATTCAATTAATTTGAAGGAATGCATTGAAAATCATGGTTTGGATCTCCGGAAGCTCGGTTATTCAATCATAAGTGAACGATTTTTGGTGATTTAAAAGTATTTTCTAAGCAAGTCAACAAACAAGCAATGACATTGTATTTTTCTTACCTCAATTTGCAAAATAAACCTTATGTTTTTGAAAAAAAAACATAATTTAAATCAGCACCAGAAACTACATAAAAATCAGTCATCAAACTTTTTATCCAAAAAAATTGTAGACTAATACGATCAGTGATGATCATTGTCATGAAGAATCTGTGTAACATTAATTTTTCTTCCTATTCATTTTCTTTTTAAATACTTTTCAATAAGACAACGGAGATAAAGATTTAAATTAAGAAAATATATTCGTATTTGACGTACGAGTACTCTAAACTTAGAATAAAAATATAACTTTTAACACAAGAATATTCTAAAACCCTAGCCATTGTTATTAGAACTATTTGCACTTCAAATTCTACATTATTAGAAGAAACTTTTCATTTCTAAGAAATTGCAAATAATAAGTTCTAGTTTAAGTTTAAAACTCAAGTCAGTGTTGCCAACATTGAAAAAATCTTCTATATGCGAGATTTTTAAAAATCGAGGAAAACATTCCTTTTGTCCTAAAAAAGTTTAAATACTTATTTGGCAATATTTTATACAAAAATAATGATAAGTAGCTAACGTTAAATGTCTTCTCTATTAACTTCAATTCTGTAAATAAATCTATGTAAGATATTTTTGATCAAAAGGCTTAGTATAATTAGGTATTAATGCATATTATTGAATGAACCAGACAACACTGAATGTCTTTCAATAACAAACAGAAACAAGTATAGAAACAGGCATTTGCTGGTTTTCTCTAAACAGAATTATTAGGTGTTAATATAGGTGAGTAAACAATATTGATAATAAGAATATAGAATTAAAAATATTAAATAAAATACCATACAAAAACAGAATTAGCGAGAGAAGAATGGAAATATATGATCAGCAGACCATAGATGTTAGAGTTGCCACTGCTGCAATTATTTTTTATTTTCCCTCAGTACTTATTTAAAACAGGCTTTATCATTATATTTCATCATTATTATTTTAAATTTAATATTTTTCTCATTTAGTGGCAAATGCATTAGAAACGTCACCTATCGTCAAATATTTGTATTTCTAATCTTACGTAGTTTTAAAATATTTAGGTGCTGACTAGAACTTTATGTTTTATATAATTTACTTTCAGATTCAGAAGAATAGTAAAATTATAAATGATATATAAATATTTCAGTCAGTACTAAATGAATAAATCAAAAATTTTATTATAAATTTCTTAATTTTTCAATAAACATAATTGCTAACAATTTGTACAACTAGGTTTAGTTTTATTTTGGCTTAATTAAAATTTAAAAAATAAAATAAAAATTGAAATACTATCTGAGCAATAATTTTACTATGTATGCTTACAATAATTAATTTTGTTTAGATAAATACTTCTTTGAAATTACAAGATCATGAATTTCCTACAATCTTTTATCCTTCTCAGTGATCAACTATAAGATAAAAAAAATATTATATTCCTATTGTGTAGATTGTATCAAATACCCCAGATTGCTCAAGATTTTTATAATTTTAGACCTAACAAAATGAATTTTTGTATATACAATTAGAAAATCACAAACTACTTAATAATATAGGGTATCAATTTCTCTCAACTCTAATAATTATTAAGCTGGTAAAAACCTTTTTTTTTTAATGGACAGGTCAATTGAAAATAAAATGATATATCATTGCAATTAATATATTTAGAAACCTATAAATCAAACGGAAAAACAAAATGACAAATTCACTATAAAATCAAAACCATTCTAGGTTCCATTCAACAATACTAAAAAGTTATAGTCAACATTATGCTAACAGAAATAAATTTCTTCATTAATAAAATACACAAAACGTCAAGATGTATTGGCAAAAGGCTGTCAATTGCCAATAAGCCAATAGATGACATTTTATGAAACTAATATTTAGATATATATAAATACCATCCAATTGCTCTCAAGCAATAATTAATTACAAATGCAAGATCTACAATTCAAAAATATAATTGTAGATAGGTTAATTAACACTTAAATATTATTATTAATATATATAATTTATATTGTCCTTCCTTAAAAGGATATTGTCTGAATAGTCTGAAGACACCTAGATATTTTTTATATACATTTATATATATATATATTTAAATTTTTCTTAAAATATATACTATGTCAATATTTTATGTAGTGGGAATGAAACATTATAATTCACACAATCATATTTAAAAGTTAGATTATTAATAAACAACAGACACAACAGGGAGAGCATTGTAAAGACTAGTCTGTCACTAGGTCTACCGCAAAAAAAGTTAGTAACAATAAATTTAAATTAAAAAAAAAAAATGTGTTCACTCTAATTAATACCACTCTTCAAAAATGGCTCAAATCAACAGAGTATTCCAGTTGAATATATCACAAAAAGTTCTCTTTAATGTAATCAATATAAATTTAATTTTAACATAAATGAAAAGAAAAAATTGTTAAATTTGATTTGATATGTGAACAATACACACAAATATGGTAATAATTTGTTTTTTCAAAAACTACTAAAAGTAAAAACCAAATAACAAATAGATTTATTGTTCTTAAACAGTAAATTTAACACCGAATTAGATATGAAATTTTATTATTTTTTAATTAAATAAGACCCAATGGAAGTAAAATAATTAAATTTTTCGAATATATATATATATATATATATATATATATATATATATATATATATATATATATATATATATATATATATATATATATATATATATATATATATATATATATATATCGTAATTTATAGTAAACTAATAAAAGATATAGTAAATTACCTGAAAAGTGTATGTATACTACAATCAGTCATAAACTACAGAGTTAGCCATTTTTTTTTTTAATTTATTGAGATATTTTAATTGCATTTAAGCAATATAATATAATATGATACGTTCAGAGTAAACCCATAAAGAATTTACATGAGCAATACAAATAAAAATTGGCATATGGTTTTGAAATTAATATTACTACTTTTAAATAGATCCTTTGTACTCTTGAATTTGAAGTGTCTATTGCAGGAAAAAATACATCCATATCTGACTTCTATCATAGTATTAAGAGATATCAAATTCAATATTTTTATTTTTTTTTTAATATTGACATATTCAACTACTTTGCAATCAAGAGCTCATTTTGAAGAGGGTAATGATCTAAAGTAAAATAATTCATGGTACAAAGCTTTTGGTGCTAAAAATTAGTAGTAAATAATTAAAAAAAAACAAAAAAAAAAGAAGCTAAATACTATCCCACGTACACGTACTCAGTCATTTTGTAAGCTAGAGTATTCTCATTAACCATTTTCTAACCATTACATATTTTAAATAATTCAAATTGAACCTGGATGGCTAGTCGTACATTTCAGTAAATGATATAATCACCACCAGTTTAATGTAATTATAAATAAAATGTTAGCAATTTTATAAGCAATATGGCTTCAGGTAAAATACCTATTTATCACAATTTCCTCTCTTAAATGAGGATCAGCATTAAAATGCAAAAGAGAGGTAATTAAGTTATACCAATATTAATTATAGGCCGCTTAAAAAGGAAGTAAAAGTGATTAATCAAAGATCTCCTCGAAATAATGTTTAAGGTTCAAATACAGTTTAACCTCTATAAATCAAACATTCATGAATTAAATCCTAATCATAAATTTGAATTTATTGCAGGGAAAAAAATTTTCACTTGGAAATAACTAAATATCGACAGCCACACTGCAAAAGCCTGCAAGGATGATTTCTTTGGAAAATGAGGTTTTGAGCTTTTCTGATCAATCTTGTCCTGGCGCATATTCTGATCTCACAAAATGAAATCTATGGTGTTTCAATTCTTCCCTATGGCCTTTTCTAAAAACTTAAAACCTTTAGATCGTGATGTAAAAAACTGTAAGTTACAGTGAAGGTTAAAGAGATTGTGTCGTTACCGAGAGAACATAATGAAATGCTCAATGAAAGTTCTTCATGTAAATATAGAATGTATAATGCATTTTACGCATAGACTACAGTTACAATTAGCTTTATTAATAGACTAAAATCAATTTTTCTTGTACGCTTTCTTTTTAAAAATTCCTAATGACTTCCAGCCTGGCGCTGCTGGGCAAATGCCTGGATTCTTCTGCTCTGACGCTGGCACTGCTTACCATGGAATTAGACGAAGCAAAGAAGAGAGTGGTAAGTGGGAATATAATATTGAACGGCCTTCAAAACCTCTACAACTGAACTTTTCGTTAATTTTATAAAAACATTAGCTAAGTATGAGAGAAATTATATCTCTGCAAAACAATTTTGACTTAATGTAAGAAAAAACAAAATAGGAAAACCAACAAAGTATTGAAAACACAAAAGAAGCATGAACAAAAAATGTATGCTTCATGTCAAATCCTTCAGGAGTCAAAGGGCCAAATTGTAGGCAGTGCTATCAGCAAAGGTCAAATTCAGTCAAACATTAATAATTTCAAAGAATAAGATAACCTTACAAATTAACAATTCACAGCCCTTCGCACTGCATCTCAGCCCTCCAATATAAAACAATTCTACCAAAACAATTGATGAGAGATATCAATTTCCGTTAATTTATAAACTTTAAGAAGGAACCAATTGTAGCAAATTTACTCTCCCATTGGACCACTGCATTAACCAAGATAAATCTTAAGATTAAAAGAATAACCATTAAAATTAATTAAGAAAATGATGAACCAAAAAGAAAACAAATTAAAAACTGTTTTAAGTTTCTGATGAAAAGTTGGACTTCTGGAAAAAAAATTAACACTACTTTAAACATATTGGCCAGTACTTAAATAACAAATAAATAAACAATATAATACAATTAATTTTCTTTTTTCTTGTGTCACTAAGTGGATTTTTGACATGAGTTAACTTCCAACTATTGATGCTTTTGTGAATTTTCACATTGTTTATGTGATATTTAAAAAATTACATAAAACCTTTTACATTCCAAATAAAGTTATAACCAGCACACAATTTTCTGATTTCACGAAGAGAAAAATCATCTAAGTTCATAGCGATTTAAGGTTATGAAAAGTCACTTAAAGACTTTTTGCAATGAACTGACGATATATAGTAGTATTTTTTCCCTTAAAAAAAAAAAAAAAACTATATTAATCAATCTGTTATTGATCTTAATATGAATTACAGCAGGTCAAAGATGAAAAATTATAATTTTTCTATGAAACAAAATGTGGATATATTGAATATTTTTGAAGGAGCTTTAAAAGTCTGATATATATAGAGGTTCAACTGTAATCTTAATGCATCCAAACTAGAATTTGTCACTCTACTTGTTTTAAATTTTTATAGACTGTCTTCATAAAAGTTTAATAAAAGAAATGATTGTAATATAAAATGAATGTTATCACTCTCTGCAACGCTCTCCAAATGACGTATGCAGACATATAAACACACAAACATTAACATAGAGAACCATGCAAAGTCACAGGATATGCCCTAATCATTGATATGACTTCCATAATCATAAGCATAATCATCATTATAGAAAGAACTCAAAAAGATGAAAAATATACATTTACTTTTTTTTTTTTAATATTTGTAATATAATTGTAATGCAGAATATATTTTTATATACATATAACATCTTAAAGAGTGTATACATAGAAATAATAATGGCATTCAGTGAGACAATCACAACAACTGGATAAAAATTGAAACATTAACAAGATAAATATATATATACATGAAGTGGTAACAAACAATTTCCAAGTAGCATTTAATGCCATCACGTTTAAAATAAGAAAATATATAACAGGTGTTAAAGGAAAAAGAAATTAAAAACTATATTTTTTCTCTAAATGGCAATCTGTAAATGTCTAATCTCAGCAGTGAATATAAAAAGCTCTTCTCATTTATAATATTCATAAATATATATATATATTTTTATTGCTTTCGGTTATGACAAATTGGCATTCAGCGATATAATTTGGATGATTCTTCACAATCCTTCAGATTTTGAAAAATAAAAAAATGTGAAGAGTTATTTAAACAAGATGACTAATAGTTTCCTGAATCAGAAACGATAGACATCAATTGAAAACAATAAAATCCTGACAGGTCAATACACTCCATTTACACTGCAGGTCAATACGATCGAAACCAAACAGTAGACTCTCTCTTATACAGCCTAACCAGGAAGAACATGTGTTATGGAAATAATTAATTTGTAAGAAAATAAACATTAATGATTACTTAAACATTACATAGATGCAAAGAAATCAGATACATAGATGAAGTTATTAAAATTATAAATATTTAATATTGTTTTATTTTAGATATCTCTACCCAAACAATATTAAAATAAAGTAGTGCTGATTAAGAAAGAGTTTACAGTATTGTCGGTATTTATATAAAATAAAGGAATGTCTTAAAATTCACAAGTGTCTTCCCTAGTTGTATCAGGTAGCTCAACAACCAAAGTATTATTTATCTATATTTTTTAATGAAACAGATATCATTTGGAGAAATCTAGACTAGAAATTACCACATTTTGCCCACAAAACTCTATAAGAGAGCAGTCCTGGATAAACAGATTATGTACTAAATTACTATTGGGCTAGATACACCTAGAGAAGGTAAACCTTAAAAACATAAGAAAACTATTTATCTACAAAAACAGTAAAAATATTTCACATTTGATGCAGTAATGAATAAAATAAATCCAAAGTGAAAAAGCCTATTTAGATAAATTGCATAAAATTTTATCGAATGACACTAATAAGAGATCAATCGTGTAAGCTGGATTTCACTGCATGCAAAAGGCATTTAAACAACCAACATATTATAAAAATTACAGCCATTTTATTTAATGATCATTATTATTATTAGATGTTACTTATTATATGGAGGAACTATAAATGAAGAATAAAAATAAATAAAATACAGAATCATTCAATAAATTAAAAAAAAAAAAAAAAATAGTAAAGCAAAACTTTCTAAAACCCCTTGTCGAGCAGAATGTAAAATCTACCATCCTTCAGCACAATAAAGCTGAGAAATTGGGTGTTTTTTTTTTTATTATAATGGGATGCAGAAATAAAGACCATTAAATTTTATAAAGTTAATTAATATTTCAAACGAAAGAGAAAATATTTAAGAAGTGACAGAAATTAATTATTAGTGTATAATTGGAAGATTTCTAACACAAAGCCTCCAGTCTCTAAAACAACTCTAAACAACTAACCAACTTATTACCACCACTCCTTTCCTCCTCCCAAAGCAATCCGTGAATACATGGCTATTCTTCCAAATATATACATATTCTTTTTTTTTTTTTTTGTATAAAATATATGAATATATTAATTGTTAATTTAAAGTATGGTTTATTCTCAATGTACATGTATTTTTATAAAATAACTTAAGCATTATTTATCTTCCATTTTCTGAATGTCATCATCCTCTTCTAATACACATCACACAATTTTCTAATGACAGCAGATATTTTCACAAAATGAATGCAAAAATAAATTTTAAATAGTTAATCAGATATTGCTAATTCAACAAATTGCTTCATATAAACAATTTCAAAGAGTATATTGAGGGAAAAATTATTTAAATACATCAAAACAGATGATTTAGAATTAAGAAGGTAGAATAATTATTAAAAAAGCATACATATCAGACAAAAATTAAACAACCCAATATCTCAGATTTATTACATCTAAAGGAGGGTTAAAAAAGCTTTCTGATAGTTTGAAAGTATTTTCAAAAGTAAAACAAACTTATTAATACTTATCAAAGTATATACTTAAAAACTGCCCAGAGTATTGTCATAGACTAATATTACGGTGATGGCCTAGCAGTAACTACTTCTACAGGACAGGTCACTATAAGAGAATGTTCAGAAACACCAATCCAAAAGACTTATACAAATACAATGACACAGTAAATTGCCAGACTCTGGCTGATGGACAAGGTAACCTATGCTAAGCAGGATAAAGAGATTTAAAATTGACCATAAAATTACGACAATTTACTAAATATTTCAGAGATAGGAAAGCTTGTTTTCAAAGGCCCGGAATTAATTAAAATGCTGAAGATTAACGAACAATAAATGATTTAATGCAATATATACACATACATATACATATAGTTTTTGGCAATCACTTACATAAGTAGTTTTTAACTAAATAATAGAAGACAATCCATTTTTTCTTTTTCATATCAATTTATACACTTATACAAGATAGATAAGGTTTTTTTTTTGTTTGTTTTTAATTTTTTTATCATTCATTTGTTAATTAAAATTACATTACTAAAAATCTCTAATACAATATTATTAAACTAATAAATTACAAAAGAATAATACATATTTTCAATAAAAGTATAAAAATCAGATTAACGATTTTCTTTTTTTTATCAAGTATAGAAATTTCTATTAATGCCATTTAAGGTATATGAGGCATAAAATGCCATGATTTATACTTATTCAAAATAATTTTTATTAGAGAAATCTCTATACATGATAACTGGAATCGATAAATACAAATATTTAGCTAAAACAAAATGTTCAGACTATTCTTTCTTTTAAGGCAAAGGTAACCTTATCTTTTATACAATGCTAATAATACATAAATCATTGATATAACTTGTTATGTAGTTTATGCTGCAGTTTTTAAGGTAGCAAGACATTAAACTGTAGTGGAGGTTTAAATATTCTCAATGGCAATTTTTTTTTTCTTTTTAGACAAAGGTAACTAATTTTTTGTTTTTTAAAGCTGGCACTTCAATGTAACATCAGTTATTTTATTATCCTTATTGTCAGTTAATGAAAACAGAAATTCTACTTTTATATACAGATTTCATAATAGATATTCTATAGTAATACTAAAATCAATCTCTAAAACCATTTTAATATTTCATTTTAACATTTAAAAAATAAAATTTACCATAAAACATCGAGTGCAATTAATACCACAAATATCAATAATTAATACTGCAGATTAACAATCATAAAATTTTGCAAATTTAATTTGTTTTCATTAAAATAATCTTGCAAATTATATCATACAATCTGCCCTTAATCCTTATAGAAAGCTTCTCACGGATGGCTCGTGTGCATAAAGATTGAACTCACGTATTCTCAAAGTCATGGAAATATATTTCAATAGATATTAATTGGTGATAAATCACATCATAAATTAAAGTAATTTAAGAAATCACTTGTGAGAGATAAGGGACAGAATCTTTTAAATATAAATAAACCATTCGAGAAGCTCAATCAATGGTACGATTCTACAATAATAATATTTACGGAAGAGGGACGACGACCTGGACGTAGGTAACAGGAAAATAACCGGTGCGGCCGTTCAGGCTTCCTTCGTACCAGTTTTCATCAATTTTATTTGTCAGTGTTATGGTTTCACCTTCCTATAAAATAAAAAGATCAATTTTGTTTCTAGATTTATTTAAAATTATAACAATTATCTGCCTTTAACACATGTTTTGGTTGAATCAAATGAATAAAAAATAGTTAATGTATAAATTAGTAATTACGGCATAAAACTAATTTGCAAGAGTAAGTAAAATAGAATTTCCTACATAATGAACGATAAGTGGAGGTTGACACATGATCAGTCTAATTTCAAGTACTTGGAATATTTTTTAAAAAGCTGAATGTTTAAAATTGGTGAAATTCCTTGCCCGAATTTATTTCCTTTGAAAACTCAATAGATTTCAAGAAGAGAGAATTGTGAAACCTCTTATTTGGAAGATCATATTAAACTATAAAACTGACTGAATTAATTAATAAAATCATAATACATCAAATCATGCTTTATTATTGAAACCACAAAATAAATTAATATATAGGGAGGTATAATAGATTTTAAATTAAATGGTGGTAGGGAACGGAAATCATCAATTAATTACAAAAATATAGAATATTTTTTAAAACAAATAAAAATATTATATCTATTCTAGCACTTTCTTTCTTGGTTTGGTCCTCCAAGAGGAGTAAACAAAACTATTTCAAATTAGGAAAAATAAATCTTTAAAGTCACTGATGGAAGTTAAAAACAATCATATCATTCATTCCTTCATACATCATATAATCAGTTTTGAAAATCGAAGAAAAAAATCTCCTCCCAAAATTTGGATTCTGTAATTTAAAAAAGCTTTGTTTGGAAAGCAAGAGTCTGTTTGCTAATATTTTTTGTGAGTGGAAAGCCACAATAATCAACAACTACAGAAACTCATACATATTAATAAACTTTAGAATGAACCTAGTTATTACATATTTTTATTTTTTATAACAATTATTAGAAATCTCACAGATTTGAACATTTTGGATTTAATTGAACAAAATTCATTTTTACTTTTTTTTGTAAAAATGAATATCAGGATTCTACTGTTTTTTTTTCTTGTTTCAAAAAAAGACTTAGTCAAAAATTTCACAAAAAAAAAAAAAAAAACGGTGGAATATACTTTCTTACTGACTCACACAATATAAATAGGAGAAATGATAATTATTTTTATATGATACATTTTTTTTTTTAAATAACAAAACCATTATAATTTATAATAAATAATCTAATAAACATTAAATTACCTTGAAACTCAGCTCGCCAGGATTTTCGGCATCAAAATCATAAAGAGCAGTGCAGCAGGGAACCCTTGACATGGGTGTACGGGCCGGAGAGTTTTTCACAGGAGAGGGCAAAGGAGATGCTGAAACAATAAAAACTTCTTTCAATTTCTCCAAGTCACAAATTCTCGAGAAAGGTGGCTTGAAGCCTCAAAATACGCTACATTCAAAAGCTACTTTCTACTTTACTACTCTTAGTATCAAGTCAAGGTTACAAACTACGATCATTCCATTACCTGATTAATGTCATGGAACTTAGCTCAAGTCCAACATCTAAAATAATATTCTTAATGATATCCTTATTAAAACCTATAATTATATATTTTTTTTAATTTTCTTAAATATTTTTTTTTAATTTATAATAATAACACTTTATAATAATTCATAGTAATAAATAAATAAGTAGCTAGTTAAAAAATAAATCAAAAGTTTTCCACTTAATATTAATTTATGAAACTAAAAGAACTACAGTAAACAGTGATAACAAATATTGCTTAAAATCAATTACTTTTGCAAATTACAACATTCTTTTCTAATTAAGGATATCATCAAAGTTTAAATAAAATTCATAGTTTCATAATTATAACCTTTCAAAGCTAAAAGTTCAGCTAAACGTTAAAATAACAGAACTTGAAATATTTCCGAAACTATCTAAATCAGATTTGTGGTCTGTATGATTTTTGTATTTTGGTAAATTAAGATAAGATCCAGCCATAAAATCTCTACTACTCAACACTGAATTAAATTTCTTTTAATGATGTAGAGATGGTTAACTGTGATATAATATGAGAAGGAATTGGTCAGGGGGAGGGGGTGCGGTCAAATAAATACTAAATTTTTAATGAATAGTATTTTTAATTACGCTGACGTTTCCACCCACCTTGCAGGTGTTCATCAGAGCGTGGCATGTGGCACTGCAGGAGGCAGTTGATAGACTGGATCCTGCAGTGCCACACGCCACGCTCTGAAGAACATCTGCAAGGTGGGTGGAAACGTCAGCGTAATTAAAAATACTATTTATTAAAAATATAGTATTTATTTGACCGCACCCCCCCCGACCAATTCCTTCTCATAAATTTATTTTACTTTAATTTTGTTTTTTCTGTTTTTGAAAGTCAATAACATGCTAATTAAGTTACTTATTTCAACATTCCAATTCTAGTTTTCTTATTCCATTCCAGTGAAAACATAAGCTTAATGCATCATAGCAAGAGTTGTTATATTACTACCATAGTGCATAGAATAATTTGGTTTCTTTCAAGGGTTACATGTGTACAATAATATGCACCATTAAATGTAATTGAAACTAAAAGAAATAAGTCAGGCCATTCTCATACTATATAAAACTACAACTTAGGCTGATTCAATATAGAATAAAAATAGATAAACGGTCAATCACAACAATTTTAAAACTAATTTTATCTACAATATATTGAATAGTTATCTTCTTTAATGAACATTTTATTAAAATACAGCAAAAAGATTTAAAAGTAAGGTACATGGGAATGTATTACAAATCAAGAAATAGATTAAAATAAAAATGGAGAGACAGAAAGTATATGCTGTTGGCAGAGTATTAAAAGTTTAGTAAAAAGAAATTACCATCGTTTAAAAATATAGAAAACTAAGGAAAATAAAAATCAATTATTACACAGTTTGTTTTCTTCAAAAAATACACTAATGCACCAAAATAGTGCTTAAAAGTGAAAAATATTATAAAACTTTAATATAATTTATATAAAAGACAGCAGTTTAAGAGGATATATATCACTGATATCTGAACAACAAAAAAAAAGGCATCTTAGGTCCCTTTCAGACCGTAGATATAAGATGCAAGATGCATGTGCGTCTTGCATCTTGATAAAAGAGCTTTCACACCAAGGATGCAAATCTTGCATCTTCTGTTTATATCAAGCAATCTCTGGAGAGTTACATTACATCATCTAATGGTATAAACAGAATCTAAAACTTTCTAAGAAGGAAAGGAAAACAAAAAGAATAACCTGATACAAATACAACAATCATTTCCTAGCAACAAAACCAAAGAATAACCATAATCCAATAATAAAAATTGTAAGAGTACACATATATCCCAAGCAGTCTTTAGTAAAACCATCGGTCCACTTATTTTTAAAAATACTTATTGTTTGTGTTTTTTTAGACAAATTACTGGCCTGCAGCCATGATCTGATTAGAGAGATATTGCTTTAGAACATCAGGATTCATAGGAATAATAATATGTCAAATGATATAAAGTAAAAAGATACAGAGAAATATCTCAAAAACGGATAGCCACGGTCTAACAGATTTGTCTATTACAGAAAAGCGTTTACGGAGAAAAGGTTTATTATACCCCAAAATTTTTTAAGTGATTATAAAAAAATGATTACTTATGTTCGTGAAAGTTTATTGATTTGAGTGAATGAATTTTATTTATACAACTTTTAATTTATCACCTAGCGTCTAAGCAGGAAACCTTTTTTCTTTTATTGAATTTACTATCTTCACTTTTTGTTCTATAGTAAGAAATTTACATATCAAGGAATCAACGTAACCTTCAAAATTTAAGAACAAAAACAACACAGTATATTGGTTTTTGGAGTTAAAATATGATGGGACAGAGAAGAGGGGAATTCTACGAAAACTGCCGACACACACATGTAAACAGAGCAGGAAGTTACAAAATCCTATTCAATAGCATGTTTCCATTTCACTTTAACCCTGCCTGCATAGCCTTAACGGGGAGGAAGGAGAGGATAAAAAAAAAAAGATTTTCATTTCACTCTTCAGAATAAATCCTTTATTAAACCGAAAATACAACTTAGAAAAATGAAAAAAGAATAACTTCAAGATATGTACTTATTTAAATGCATGTAAGTATTTTTATCAAAACATAAAACTATTAATAATAGTTTTCTTTATTTCCAGTATTTTGTAATTATTCATTTCAAAAAATAAATTTATCACTTAAAGAAAATTTGGTCATCCGCATTTTTTACAAAGGGTCAAAATGCTAATACTTCCAAATCAGGGCATTTCAAAATTTTCTCTTGTAAGAGGTTTGGCTAGAGAGAGGAATTTTCAAGAGAGTTTTCACTGCATTAGAAATTATTATAGCTTTTAAAACATTAAAAATGGCAAATTATTGATTTTTATTAATCTCAGGTTATGAGCAGCGAACAAACTAAAGTATCAACCAATTTGAAAAGCAAAATTAAGTTCCTAAATATTGTTCTTTCATGCATTTTGTTCATTACTCAATCAAGTAATAACAGAATATTCTTATGAAAAATTCATTACTCACTGTCTGATGAATCATTAAAATTATTTTTCCAATGTCAATTTATTTTTTAATTATTTTATTCTGTCATTTTTTATCAATTAGAATTTATGTTAATAATCTATATTGTTGCCCTAAAGATGGCAAAAATGGGCTGAAACCTCAGCTTCTAAGCTTTAACTAATATATAATCCTTAACAATGCTGGTTGATGAAAAATATAAAACTAAGTCTAGAATGGTAACAGTATAAGTCACATTTTCTTAAAAAATAATTAAGCGAATTTCCAGAAAGTAAAAAAATAAATAAGTTGAAGCATGATAAATTCTAGTGAATAAAAAAAAAAATGAAACTAAAATTGCTTAAGCTTGTTTGAAAAATGAATAAATGCAGAGAGCATGCATGTTTAGCGTACCATTAGTAGATCTGGCCTGCTGCTGGCTGGCAATCTCCAAGTGACTTGGCTTCCCATGGACTGGGGAAGAAGACTGGGACGTACCTGAACCACAAAACACTTACATCCCCATAATTGCCCTATCGTTAATAAACAAACCATCTGTTGCCAACTTCCTACTGGAGGCTCAACATTACGCATGGAGATAGGTACAGAAATGGTTTTTTTTAACTTGGATTAAAATATGGGTGAAAATGAGAAAAGTAAAGACAGTCCGAAAAAACAAGATTTGTGATAAACAACCGCAAAGATAATATACAAATAAACATTAAATCTCATTGTGTGGCAAACAATTAATATAGTGAAGAAAGCTTGTTGACTGTTCTATATATCATGGATGATAGATATTCAGGATACCATCAGTTTTTAAGATTGTCATCAACGTTTCAATCCAAGCTTGTGGGTCATCATCAGGGCATATTACCAGCACTGATATTGAGTCACAAGCTTAGGTTAAAATATTGGCAATAAAAGTCTTAAAACTGGCTATCATTCATAATCAATAATGTAGTCAACAATATTTTAATTAAAAGACAATCTCGGGTTTAATTCAAAAGGCCAGTATTGTTTTTATTACTCAAAACATCAAGACTAGCAATAAAGAAAACAAAAACTTATTGTTATGAAATAAGTTCAGAACATTATACAAAGATATGAACTTGATTAATTATCTTCTATTTCAAAACTTAGTTAAAATTGTCTAACCTGATTACAAAAAAAAATAAACACTATTTTAAGACAACAAACTTATGCAATGTCTATATCATATAGTATCAAATGCACATTTAAACTCACCATTATAAGGCTGATAATGTACAAAACTAACTATAATAGCCAGCAGGATATAGGACAAATCTGAGAAATTTTGGCATTGCCAACTATCGCTCCACAACCTAACTCACTATTCAGTAATGAATCTTTATCTGTCATTCCACAGATCATTGAGATAAAAAAAAAGTTCACAGTAATTATTTAAATTGATGCCTAAACTATTCTTAACTAAAATTATATAAATTAAATTGATACCATCAAATCAACAAGAAACAAGTTCAAGATTAAAACTGATTATAATCAGGAATGATTGGAACATAAAAATAAATAAAATATACTAATAAATATTTTTGATAACCAACCTACTTTACTAATTACAACCTTTCAAAAACTGAACTTTTACTTAAAATACAGATACAAACAGTTGCTATTTTTACAGTGTTTTCTTAAATAACCAATAATACTAATAAGAAAAGAGGACACATTCAATACACCAATGAGGGTACTATACAACAAAGGACAGTCAATGTTCCCAACTACTAGCAGTTTGAAGGCAGAACTTATACAGCCTTTGTTATG